CACAAGTCTATATGCAATCCATGTAGCCTCTCTCTCCAGAAAAATGTGGAGAGGAGGCAGATTTAGAAGGATCTCCATTGCCGCTGACAGTGTGGTACTAATGGCACAAGGTAGATAGCTTTGCCTAAGCCGTTTTCTGTAAAGCCTTCGTCCACCAGACAATTGCACCATAAGTGATAATTGGTCTGACAATCATCACATAAATCCAATGGATTTGTTTGGGACCTAAACCCCAAGTTTTACCACAAATCTTTCGACATGTCCATAGGGACACTCTGGCTTTATGTAAAACTTTTTCCAAGTGAGCGTTCCAGGTGAGTTTCTCATCAAGGAAAATGCCAAGATAGTTCACCTCCGTTCCAAATGGAATGACCTCACCATTGAGGGAAATTGGAGTTGGATCTTCCAATTTTCTCGTCCTGGTAAAGTGGATTATTACAGTTTTGCTGGGATTCACAGGCATATTCAGAGTAGTCTAACAAAAAGTATTCTCCTAGTTTTTCAGTTTTCAACACCGATGGGAGGACGAGTAATACCTCTTTCGAAATTAGAAAAAATTAGCTTTATTATGTAACCCTATTTGCTAGATTGCATACCAACAAAGAATTCGGAAACGGCGTGAAAAACCGTAGTCCTTTGACTATGAAATTGATGAAACAATGACTTCATAATTTGTTGCTGCGTTGATGAGAATGAACCTTTGTCAAATTTTCAAAAAAAAGGTCGGGGCAGGAATAGAGCATGTGCTCTGGTGTTGCATTTTATTGCATTCATGTTCCATTCCAAAGATGAGGTTTTTGGAATTATTTCCATTGAATATCAGCTTACTAGCCTTAAACTACTCTATAGATTATGCCTCATTTGAACTTGCGAGTTACTCAGGATCTATCGTTAATTAGTACAACGGCTGTTATATCTTTCGCAAGCAAAGATTTGTCAATGTATTCATTCTATCGGGTAGATCATTCATACATATCAAAAACAAAACTGGCCTCAAAACATTGCCTTGGGGAACTCCATTGTTCACTGAAAGGCTTTGACTGCTTAGATCTACACAATGATCTGAATGTGATTTATTTACTTGGAATGCATGTTGAGATTGTCACTTTTATGCAATATATACCTTCGATTTCGTCGCAAAAGTTCTGTAATTGCGACGAAATCGCAATTACCTAACTATGAAAGATAATCGAGAAAAAAATAACAAGAAAACAACGTAGTTATTTGGTAATTGAATAGAACTAGCCCATGCATTTTCTGTTGAGTTTCACTCATTTCATTATTTATCATTTTCCAAATACCCTCAACAATATTACGAATTCAGAAAAGGAAAATATACGCATTGAATAATCAAGCTAGGAAAATATAAGAACAAACATATGAAGCATGCATTGAGGTAGCATTCAGCATGAAGCAGGATGCATAACAAGGAAGGGACAAAGCAAGGCGAGTAGTAAGGTGAGAAAAAAAGAAAGCTTTTATTCTCACTCACCAGAGCTTGAGCTGCCGCTTGGTGCTGTAAACAACGAAGCATACATTTAGTAGGTACAGAGAACAGAATGTACAGAAAATAGACCAGTCAGTAGAAGTAGGGGGTTAGAGGGATCCATTTAGTGAAAGGCAAGCAGAGTGTATTCATTTTCATGAAGGATATCTATATGTACATACATTTGTTCCGCAAATACTTTCGGCGCAGTGCGTTAGATTGACGCTGTTAGCACTCAACCAGATTTCCTACTGTCTAACCCTTCAGAAATTTCGCTAGTTCTATGGTATATGTGCCAGCCGCAAGCATTCACAAAAAGCTTTGATGACTACCGCTGCCAACAATGAAAGGTGGTGTTTAATCTGAACATTTATCTGTTTGAGTTGTTTTGAACAAGAATAAAAAGCATCAGTTGCAGTTTGGGTTGCAGTTTTCGCAAATAGTCAGGAATATCACATGGGATATGGTAATGAGGAAATTGGGACATTACTTTGTCGCTTTGAGTTGCATTTTTGTGATACTGAAGTAATTCAACATTTTTTTTATTAAAAAGACGCTTCAACCACGTAGGGTTATTAGCGTAGGTTCAGTGATACAGATTATGCTAGTGTTATATTTCGTGTAACATATTAATGTTTGTTTGAAGGTGATCGACAATGTTTCATGATGAATTTCACTAGTTCGGGCTTCCATTGTCTACTATATACAATTATTTGAAATCCCTGAAACAATTAAAAAAAGGAGAATTAAAAATGAATAGCTGAAGATAACGATTATATTAAGCAAAAATAAACTAAAATGAAATAATAGTGGGATAAAATACAAGTCAAAATCGAACAATTGAACAAAAATGAAGAGTACTTTCACTCATCCCCACTTTCCTTTTTTTCCGCTTCACTGGTTCAGTGGGAGATGACCGTTAGGTGAGAGTTGGCCATTTTTCGCTTGATAATGGGTTTCCATATGTTGCGTATCTCTACGCTAGCTTGGCTGAATAATAATTAGTTTCGACGCAACATATGGAAGTTCATCATTAAGCGAAAAATGGCCAACTCCCGCCAAACGGTCATCTCCCACTGAACCAGTGAAGCAGAAAAAAAGGAAAGTGGGGATAAGTGAAAGCACTCGAACGACCCATAAATAGGCATCTCTCGGAAGAATCAGTCCAGTCATCACCCGAAGACGATTGTAGATACTAACAATCGAAACGTCGTGAACTAACGTGGCTTGAAAACTCTTAACTTTTTATTATTTTTATTTTCATTTTCATTTCTTTATTTTTGTTCAATTGTTCGATTTTGACTTCTATTTTATCTCACTATTATTTCATTTCAGGTTATTTGCTTAATATAATTGTTATTTTCAGCTATTCATTTTCAATTCTTCTTTTTTAATTGTTTCAGAGATTTCAAATCATTTTATATATTAGACAATGGAAGTCCGAACTAGTGAAATTCAACATGAAACATTGTCAATCACCTTCAAACAAGCTTTCACACAGTTTCTCAGTCCGTGAAAGTTTACACTCTTTCATTATTATTATTATTATTGTTGAATCGTCATCAGTACAAATAACGTTCAAATTTCATGATAGTGTGAAATTCAACATATTAATGTGTTTGAGAAAAGCTAAGAGATTGTCAATAATACAATTTTCTCCTAATATGTCTGTATATATGTGTGTATATTTGTGTTCAACACTTAAAATAGAATTACACACTGTACATTTAGGTTGCTGTTCGTCCGTCTGAAGATGTCCATGACTAGCGCGTGTATGACCCAGTCGAAGTCGTGAGAGGATTACTTGTTTTCGCCTGTTTTCAGGTGTGTCCTTCCATAGTAGAACCGATGTCTTGATGCTGGATAATTCTGAGAATGATTCGTTCCATTGGGATTGCCAACAGTTGGAGAAGATATGTTTGTAAAAGGTTTCAGATCTCGCAACTTGAAGTTCTGTTGCTGTAATCGGGTGGGTAATAGCTTCCTTTGATAGTTTGTCTGTTATCTTATTACCTGCTATTATTTTAGGCGATGGAATCCACATAGAATGAATTTGTGATTCTTCATTTTCTTGCAGAGAGTGTTTAGCTCTTTTCATGAGGAGTATGATGGGGTGGTTGGTGTAGAGTTCTTCAATTTATTCATCATATTCCAAGAAAAAATCAAATATATCATTCACCGTAACGGTGTTAAATTCATCATTTCTATAAGACAGTTCATAATTATGTTCTCAAAACATTCTCACAGTTACATTATATAACGATATAGCAGTAAACAACGTAATCAAAACTTATAACAGCAATAACAGAAAAAAGTTTGAACCCTTCAACTAAAACAAAATTATTTATTGCTTTATGTTCCTTCAATATACATTATTTCATAAACGTTCAACCACTAGTTCTGTTATCAATTCTATGAGACAGTTTATATTGATTGACTCGCCGAACACTCTCTCTTTGGCAACATTGAGGTATCACACGGTGGCCTCCGCGAAGTTTCAGAATGTGCAGCGACATTACTGTCGTTGCGAGGCTTTTTGGCCAGTTATATAGACGTGGTGGAAAGGCTTTGGACTTTTGTATGACCTCCAAGACTTGGTGAACAGATAAGAAGATTTGTTTTTATTGAAAGCTTCCATTTAATTTGACTTGTATGTAAGTCAACAAATCTTGCAAATTCAATTTGACCCACTTCCCGGTATCCGATTGACATGAAATTGTGCATGCTGGTCCAGAACCGATGACAATGCATGTTGATCATAAACATAACCTAATGCCACTGCCAGGATCGGCTCCGTACGAGAGATCTCCTCACCGGAGGAGANCTCTGTTGGCGCAGTTCAGACGTGATAAATCCGAGTTTTGGCGCCGCTCAACTACTGTAGATGGAACTTTGATACACCATTATACGTCCGAAACGAAAATACAGTCCAAATAGTGGACTGAAAAAGAAAAGCCGTCTCCAAAAAAGCATAAGTTGTTTTATTTGTCTGGAAAAATTATGTCGACTGTTTTTTGGGATAGTCATGGAGTTATTTCAATTGATTACCTTCAAAAAAGTAAAACCATTACAGGAGCATACTACGCATCATCACTTGACAAGGCAGAACTTGCAGAAAAACGGCGATATTTGCAGAAAAAGAACACATCTCAGCGGTTGCCATGGCGAAAATCCACGAATTACGGTTTGAACTGCTTGACCATCCACCTTACTCACCAGATTCAGCCCCAAGCGACTTCTATTTGTTCTCTCATCGCCGAGTACTATTTGGACGGGTTACCGAGACGGAAGCATCGCTGAGAGAAATGTGTAGAGTTGAAAAGAGTTTTAATGTATTATTTATGTAAAATAATTCATTGATTCGTTTCATCAATTATAAAAAAGTCAGGAAGAATTCATAGTTATTGTGGGGATTTTAGTGGTTTTTGATTGGGGCTTTAGAGAGATATATTTTTTGAGAGTTGGGAACACTGTTCAAATACTGGTGGAATAAACAGTGATTTTAATGTTCCAGGGATCTTATGAATGCGGTCCTTGCAACCCTGGTTTCATTGGGAACCAGTCAATCGGTTGCCGTCGCGAAGAAGGTTACTGCTTCAGCGGAGACAAATGCGACAGGCAAGCCGAGTGTATGAGTTTGGGATATGGCCAGTATGAGTGCGTATGTCTGCCAGGATGGGCAGGAAATGGAATCTACTGTGCCCGCGATAGCGACTCTGACAGATGGCCCGATGAAAACCTGCCATGTTCTGACCGTTTCTGCAAAAAGGTAAGTATAGTCGATACAACATGAAATCACGTTGTATATCCATGGATCTTTATTTAACGTAAAAATACAACGAAAATACAGGGCTTTTCATGATGAGCGTTAATTAGCCGTTTCTGGCAAACTATTCAACGGATTAACCTGAGAATTCCACAGTATGCATAAGTCAATATGACCTACACGCCTAAAATATTTAAGTCGAAGCGGCGTTGTCGCTTCTACTATGGCGGCTTCTTTGATTTTTCAAATGGAACACCCCGTATATAATATCATATTATGATTCATTATCACTTTGTCAACAAATTCATATACTATTTCCTTATACCTATCTATTACCGTTTAGAAGATATAAATTAATTTCGATATTTTTTTACCAAACATGAACTTTTATAAATGCTGATAATCTTGAACTCTCTTGCACTAAGACGATCAAATTTGAAATGGAGTGGAGTGATACTATGAGGATCTTCACTCCGAGTCATATTTTCACATGAGGTTATTTAAATGAATTTAAATGAATCTTTCTATTCTCGAAAAGAGAAAAACATACGTGCCTGCTATATTTTATCACTAGTGATTATTGTTACTTCTTTCTTCATCTAGGATAACTGCCAATACACTCCCAACTCTGGACAGGAAGATGCAGATGGAGACGGAATTGGTAATGCTTGCGATAATGACGCTGATGGTGATGGTATTTACGAAGGGGTGAGTATATCATATTTTATCAAAACAGTTAGAAGGATGATTTTTTTGTTTGCATTCATGCAAATATTACGTATTTTGCTTTAAATAGGTGCGGTACCCCAAAAAATTTCGCGTCTCCGGCGGGCTTTTCTGTGTGTATACAGTCTTTATGACTTCAGTCTCCCCTGTTCTCCAATGCACGAGCCGTCACTGCAACACCACCAAATAAATTCACTTCCTCAACAAAGTTGAGCAGTTGGGTGAATCATCGTTCAGGGCCGATGGTTCAAGTGAAAATCTGCCAAACACAGTTATTTTGGTATTGAAAACGATCTGTAAGTATGGGTGTTAGACAATGTGGGTCATTCCTGTTGTAGCCCAACAAGCTCTATGTAAGCCTTGGTCGATTCTGGCAAATTTAGACAAAAGTCCGGAACTCTTCTTGAAATCCAAGTAACCGCAAGACATAAATCGATACCAATGTTATGTTCTGATCTGATGAAAGTACTGCAGTACTTTCTATGGCAAGTGAGTCAGGTGAGAAATCCAGGACATTTCCTATTTGTTAAGACTTCATTTTGAGGAGTTTCCAGAAAGTTGTGGAGAGGAGGTGAGTTTGCAACGATTTTCAGGGCTTCTGACGATGTGGTGCTGATGGCACTGGATACACCAGGCAAGCCTATTTCCGCACATCTTCACCTACAGGGTTTTCTACAGATCCTTCGATATATTCAGAAAGGCAGTCTGGCTTTGTCTAGAGCCTTTCCTAAGCTGCCGGGTGAGCTTTTTCTTTCAGAAAAATAACTCATGTTGAACATGGAATAAACTCTCCGTCGAAGGAAAATAGATTTTGATCATTTATGTTCCTCCTGGTGAAGGGATATATTACAGTGTTCTCTTGAGTTTCACAGACATCGCTTTCTATATCAATAACTTGTCCGTTTGGCCTAGTCTTTTGGTGGTTCCAATGTATACTTCTTACGGTATGCGGTAAACAACTGTTGCTGATAATAGGTCTCTTTTGTCTTCAGCCGACCTGAGGCTTCGCTGTATCTTCTTGGTGGGTTTGAAAACCGTTTTGATGTTGTGTTTCCCCAAGAGTTTTTCAATTATGTCTGTAACTTTAGGGGTGTATGGTAGATATGCAAGTTCAACCATCTGCGCATTCTTCTCGTTTTGAACTGTAGAACTCTTCCGTTTCATGGCTTTGTTGATCTCGAGTACACTGTATCCATTCCATCTCAAAGTCACCAGTTTTTTCCCTAAATGCTCTGGCTGGCTCACATATTCTTTCACCCCGTCTCGAGTGACATTGATATTGAATGGATACAGTGTACTCGAGATCAACAAAGCCATGAAACTGACAAGTTCCACGATTCAAAATGGAAAGAAGGCTTAGATGGTTGCACTCGCGTATCTAACATATATCCCACCGGAGCGTCGAATAATCTCTTCCTAGTTCAATCTTTCATTATATCTCCACAGGATAACTGCCCCCTCAAACCCAACCCCGACCAAAGAGACTCCGACCAAGGCGGTCCAGACAGAGTGGGAGACGTCTGTGACAACTGCCCTTACGTCCGTAACCCCGACCAAAGCGACGTCGACGGAGACAACATCGGTGACGCCTGCGACGAAGACATGGACAACGATGGCATCATCAATGATCTGGACAATTGCATGAAGGTGCCGAACAGAGATCAAAGTGACGTCGACGGCGACGGCGTAGGGGACCTCTGCGACAACTGTCCCAACGCCCACAATCCCAATCAGGAGGATAGGGATGAGAACAATGTGGGGGATGTTTGCGATTCTTCTTTGGATACTGATAGGTATGTTACTAACATTTTATACGATAATTTTATATTTTATACGATATTTTATGAAATTAGTAGTTGTAATGAACTAGAAACTCTCTCTCATTATCATCAATACATAGTATTTTTCTTCAGTACGCATCTCTGAGATAACATATTCGATCATTTATATTTTAGGGACGGCGTAAGCGATCTTCATGACAACTGCAGATTGACTCCGAATCCGAATCAACTGGACACAGATCGGGACGGCAAAGGGGATGCTTGCGACACCGATATTGATGATGATGGTATTCCAAACAATAAGGACAATTGTGTGCTTGTTTATAACCCTGACCAAGTTGATTCCAACAGTGAGTACTCGTATATAGAATATAGAGTAGGTAAAGTACAGAAGAGATATGTATATGTGAAATTTGGATTATGGATTAGTAGGTGAGAAAGATATTGTTATTGAATTGTTTGTCTTAGTTGCTACAAAAGTATTGAAGTAAGCCTTACTGGTCGTGTGATACATAATACCGTGTGAAAGCTATTTTTCGGGGTTTTGGCTGTGGCTGAGAATAAGTTGATGAGCAAAGAGGGCAGTTATATCTGCTGGGAAAACTTCGGTTATAAGCCGTATTGTATCTTTGATCGGATTCATCGTGTATGAGCTCACTAGTATGTCCCCAGGACCCAAATTCACGTCTCTACTTTTTTGATAAAGTCCTCAATAAATGACTCTGTATTTCCTTTGAGTGGCTGCAGTAGGGTTGTCAATTATTTGGCTTACTCATAAGTTGGTAAACTTATCGCATTTACGATAAGCTCCCAGTAGCACATTGTCTTTATGGATTTTTGTTAGCAATATCGGCGTGGCGGAAAAGCTTCTGATTTTTGTAGACCTTTTTGGTGTTCTCTCCAATACTTGATGAACGGATAAGACGATTCCTTTTTCCTAAAATCCTAGTGGTCGGGTCCCGACTGAGTCTTTTACATGTCCCTGGGAAGAGTAATGCGACAATTTCCCCATTATAATCCTTGGTGTTCATCACGATGGTGGCATTTACTTTGTCAGCAAGCAATTACAAGATATTCTCACTTGGACTTGGATTTTTCGGCGCATTTCGTTCTCGTCGTGTTGTGTTGGTCTTGGGTTGTTTTGCGCTCATTAGAATCCTCGACGTTTGTATGCGGATTTCCTTAGCAATGTCGTTAGGTGAAGTACGTTTACCTGATTCGACATTGGCAATGATATCCCCGTTGGGTACTTTGGCTGGATCTATAGGGAAGTTCCCAATATGCTGCACTCGTCTTCTGACAGTATCCGACCGGAAAGGTTGACCACTGTTCGTCTGTTGTACTGTGGTTTACAATTTTTCTGGCTCTCACTCAGACTCTTGTATTTCTCCATGTGTCTCTTGGTAATGGCTGATTTCACTGATTATACAATCAATAACTACTATTACTACTATTACTACTATCATTATGTTCATATGTTAGTTTAACGATAAGTGTCTTTCATCCTCTAGATAATGGTTACGGTGACAAATGCGACGACGACAATGACCAAGACGGCGAAAAAAACATCTTTGATGTATGTCCCAACAACTCCCTGATCTTCCAAACGGACTTCAGTAAGTATCAGACAGTCATTCTCGACCCCGAAGGAACAACCCAGACAGATCCCAACTGGGAAATATACAATAACGGTGCTGAAATCATTCAGACTCAGAACAGTGACCCAGGTCTCGCCGTTGGACATGACGAATTCCTCGGAGTCGACTTCGAAGGAACTTTCTTTATCAATACCGAAACAGATGATGATTACGTCGGGTTTGTTTTCAGGTAAGGGTGTCTACGGTGACATATTTTCGTATGTTTTTCCAGAAACTGTATTATTGATATTTCGTGAAAGATATTTTCCGGGATTTTTGACAGTGGCCTGTAGGTTATTATGCTTGACGTTCCGTCTACAACTGTGGTAGATATTATCAAAGGCCATGTGGTAACGGTCGCGGGGCCAGAGTTGTTGTTCTCGATGCTCCGGATGAATTAACTACGAAGCTGATAATTATTGTTCAATTATTGTACTCAAATTACTATGATGACAAGAACGAGGAACTAGTCCCCAATTGTGGCATAGTCTTCTATGTCGGGTCAGTTCCAATTTCACCGATTCAATGAATTCAAGCAAACAGCAGCACAATCTATCGCTGAAAAGCCTCAGAAGTATTAATTGCAAACAACTGAGAATCCTAAATAATTTGAGATTTTCATCCTCCCTTCCATTTATTCAGTCACTGAAGATGCAAATGAATTAATAACAAATCATCAGTATCGGCCAGTTCTATTCAATTAGTAATGTTATACGAGTATAATGTAGAATATTCAATACAGAAAACTAGTAGATGATTTGTTGTTCATCTGCGATTAATTACGTTAACTATTATTTGCTCCATCGGGAGACGCAGGTTTATGAATGCCACCATGTTATGATTCTGGTAACAATTCCTTACTTTTTAGTTACCAGAGCAACAGCAAATTCTACACCGTCATGTGGAAGAAGCACGAACAACTCTACTGGGAGGCAGAACCTTTCCGAGCTTTCGCCGAACCCGGAATACAAATCAAAGTGGTCGACTCCGCTACCGGTCCAGGTCAGCTCCTTCGCAATTCCCTGTGGCACACCGGAGACACTGATCAACAAGTGAAACTCCTCTGGAAAGACCCCCTCAACAAGGGATGGAAGGAGAAGACTTCCTACAGGTGGTTCCTCATTCACAGACCGGCGATCGGTTTGATCCGACTGAAAATCTTCGAAGGGGAGAAGATGGTGACGGATTCCGGAAATATTTTCGACAACACCCACAAGGGTGGTAGACTGGGTGTGTTCTGTTTCTCGCAGGAGATGATCATTTGGTCGGATCTTGCGTATAGATGTAATGGTGAGTATTAGTGTACCAGACGGCATTGTTTCGATCCGCCAAGAGGTGTAGGATTTGATTTTCGAAACAACACAAAACATTTAAAAACAGTGATGAAATCTTTATCAGAATCGATAGAACGATCAATATAATTCAATGTTTGAAGATGATTTCATGCAAATGTTGTCCGCTGCTCCGCTTTAGATGGCCCATGCGCAAGGTCCAATTTCGGCACACTCTCTCTAACATATTTACTGGTATTTCACGAATGAATGCTTCAATATTGTCGTTGCTGGTTTATCCCTGTAGATATGAGCTTCAACATGACTCCAGAAGAAATAATCCAAAGGCGTTGAATCACACACTCTTGACCCCCAATTTTTGAAGTTGCGGCCGTCGAATCATATGTGAATTTTGAGAATACTTTTATGATGCCAAAATACAAAGTTTATACAAATTTACAGCTGGGTATGTCCACTTTCCTAGGCAAACCCCCTAAAATGACTGGGCTATAACGCAATACAAGTGAAAATAGAATCGCACAGGCGCCTGCGGATGGCGACCCATCGCCACGGCATGCGTCACTACGCAGCAGTCGGCAGCAGAAATTTAGAGACGGATACAAAAGGAGAAACCATATATACTTAATACACTGGGAACAATTTGTGATGAGAAAGAAATTCCACTGAAGAATATTGTATCAGCTGCTACGGATGGCGCTCCGGCTATGACAGGACGTCACAAAGGCTTCATAGTGGACTAAAAAATAAATTTTTAGATGTGTTCGCTGTACATTGCGTTATTTATAAGCAACATTTGGTTACGAAAAATTTGAGTGAGCGCCTCTCTCAATCACTGCAATATATCATCAAAGTAGTCAATAAAATTTGAAACAGCTCTTTAAATGACAGATTATTTAATCAGCTTTGTGTTGCTGATGATGAAGATTTCAACCGATTGCTATTTCACACAGAAGTGCGTTTGTTATCAAGAGTTAACTATCTGACTCGATTTTACAATCTATTTGACTCTATAATGGAGTTATTGGAAAACAAAGACAAAGAATTGCACGACAACCTCATCACTTTGAAGAATGATATTGCATACTTGACAGACCTGTATAAATTATTTAATGATGTCAATCTCCAGCTTCAAGGTGACGACTTGACTTTGATTGAAACAAAAAATGTCATTGCTTCTTTTGTAGCCAAATTGCTCTTATATAAGAATAATATCGGCAGACTTGAGTTTCGCAATTTCCCTAATTTGTCAGCAGTATTCTTCAACAACGACGACTTGCTTGTTTACTGCCAACATTTTGAGAACCTCCACAGTGATTTTGCAGAACGATTCCAGGATTTTTTGAAATTGGAAATACCGGACTGGGTGTTGGATCCTTTTTCAAATGTCAACACACCAGGATCACCCCAGCTGGAAGAAGAACTCATAGAATAAAACGTTAACAAAACAGTGACAGGTATTGAACCGAAGCAATAGCTTTTTCAAGCAGAATTAATAAATTCTTCTAGGTTACTACCCTATTTATTTTTCAATGGGGAGGTTCGAATCGTCCAATTACTCAGAAACGGCTGGTCCGACTTCAAAAAATAAACAGTGTTCATTAAGACTTGGGAGCCTCATCACTCGAATTATTACAAGCTCCCCACTATTGGTTATTTCTTCTTTGACCGTAGAGGGTGACTGTTTAGATATGAACTTTAACAAGTTTCATTTTCAGATAACGTGAGGGAAGAAATTTGGAGACAACTACCACATAGGCTCCGGAAAAATTTGAAGATAGACAACATACGGTCATACAGCGTATCTCCAGTGAACCTGTAATAGTGTAATTTTTACATATTACATATATTAAGTCATTTCATGTGTTCTTCAACAAACTAAACCATTTTTGTACTTATATAATTACTATTGAGAAATTAATATATTGTTCATGTTCATAGTATTATGAGTCAGAACTACTGCTAACAAATTTGTGAAAGATTATTACAAAACGTTAATATTTTCAATATATTTCTTTGTTAGTAACGACCGGGTTTTTAATTATCCAAAGAATGAAGAATTTATAAAAAAATTATCATCATGTCGCTGGATTTGCAAAGGCTGCTTCTCTAAGAGCATGGAACACTATTCTGGACCAGAAATCTGTACACACAGACCTTCTTTGGAGTATTGTTCTCGTGTATGGAGCTCCGCCCCTAAGAATATCCTGAAGTTGCTGAATTTCATCCAGGAAGGAGCCATCCGCCTTATTGGAGACGCGAATATCACTTGCAAGCTTGACTTGACTCTCTTAGACTTGTTAATTAGTAGAATGTATAACAAACATGATTTTATGGACAAACAACAGAAAAAGTGGCTTCATTTTTGAAAAAACAAGATATTGAAATTGCATGCAGAACAGATAATACTTTGGAAAAGTTAGTTAAAAATAACAAGGACAAGACAAGACCTCCAAATTTGAGAGATCAGGAGTATATAAATTAAATTGTAGAACTTGTACTAAGGTATATATTGGTCAAACCGGCAGAACTTTTAGGAATCGCATCCAGGAACATCATATGAGCTGTGATAGTAAGAACACATTCGAATCATTCTCTAGACGAAAATCATATCGTTAATGGAGATTTAGAAATTTCATACGTAGAAAATAAATGTTTAACGCTTAATCATTTGAAGGCAATGGAAATTAATGAATCTAAAAATTCTTAATTTTACTGAATGACCAACTTGATTCAAATAAATCACCATTACTGAACTTGTTTTCTTGGAAATCGATGTTAGTCTTCATATACATATTATTATTGATGTGATATGCTTTAGTTAATCATAATTGAGGAAGTTTTAACGTACATCCTCAATGGGAAATGTTCCTCAATTTGGGTTATTACAGTAAATGCAAGTTTGAACAAAATAAAGTTGAGTTTAATTCATGAGTTTTCAAACTTCGAAAAGTATTCAAATTGATGCTTCAAATGTTGGGTTTTAATTTTTAAAGGGATTTGTTTCTAATTCACATATTGGCAACAGCGCCTATATCAAGTTGAAATAATTTATACGTACCTAGATATTCTACTTTAAAAAAGGAAAATTATCTTTATAAATCAACAATTAAGGCAAAATATAAATTATAGTTCAATACCACCTCCACAAGCCACACATAAACAACAGTTATTTTGTTATTTATTTATATAGAGGAAGTTAGGTGCACAAAATGTCATATGTCACAGAATGTCTCGGAACTCGGAACATAAGTAAACAGAATAGCACGTCTCTGAAATATGTCATCTTTGTTTGTCTCATACAGGTAACAGATTCATTGTCCTTTATTAGCTATAACCGATGTTGCCAAATGATAAAATAAAAACAAATCCCTTTAAATGTTGAATGCATTATTTCTAAGTATTCAAATAATTTTTTAAAGAAAAAGGTTGAAATGATAAGTTTAAAATGCGTTGTTTTAGAGGTCTTTTATGAAAACTACTTGATTCTCGTCAGGAGGAACATCCCCATTATGAGTAGAGGCTCTAGATAATTATGTTCGAGTAAGTATCTGAGTCGGTACTTCTTACTAGCGACTACTTGTGGTAAAATTATAGTGAAGAATTACCGTTCAGTACGTTATTTTCTATGAGAAAGCTATTGTGATCGCACAAAACATGTAACATTTTTGAAAATGAAGTTTGTGAAGAACAAATCGTTAGGTAAAGTTTGTGAAATTTTAATGAAAACATTTTAGATTTGCAAAGTTGAATCAGGGTGGATTTTTGATACAAATGAAGTACATAAGACTAGGGTTGGGAATGAAAAAGTAGAGAAGGTGTTTTTGTAGATTTATGCCACCAATCTTCGGAGTCAGCAATGAAATGAACAAAAAAGTCGAGTATCACGACCAAAATCAACCAGAGCTAAATTTTATTCATCAATCAAAAGAAATTTATGATGATAATGTTGAAAAGTTAAAGATATTCCCATGGGTATTTACTTATTATACTGCATTTAGAAATGTATACACAGTATATCATTACAATTTAAATTTAGAGCTTAGCACTATAAAATCAACTATGCTTTCGCTAATATAGATCTAATCTAGATCTAATATAGATATTGATCAGTAGTGGTCTCAAATTTGATCCTTGTGGTGCGCCAAGAGAGACTATGTAAAGAGCTCTTCAGTTTTTGAAAAATTCAGTTTTTTAAAGAGATGCAGAAACAGAGATGGTGATTAATGTCTGTATCTTGTTGCAGGCCGTGAATTTTTGAATTTTTTTCAAATATCCACGGCCTTCAAAACCTTGACCATGGAAGTCGTAACTAATTTGTCACACATGAAGATGTCAATTGATTCTATTGATTTGGAAAAAGCCTAGGAAAGTTCCCTCTTTGAGAAAAATTCCAAACTATTGTTGAAAATTGCAGAATGGTGACATAAGTTTGATTATTTCCTTTTCTTTTGGTCCCAATGAAAATATGTGTGAGATTTATTCGGATTTATTTCATTCAAACACTTCACAATTATAACATCAGTGGTTAACAATTCATATACGTTTTTTTCCTAGTAACAACGACATAATAAAAACTATATGGCACTTTCCAGGATGAACAGCAATAATAATGGTAATGAACTAAACTTACGGCAGTTATCGTCATGAAGACTGATATAAATATGTTTTATTTCTAAAATAGTCTAATTCATACAAAAAACAATGGGTTGTGAAATCTTAAAACTAAAGATTTGGTCCCTAAATACATAGAAAATATCTTAAAACATTTAACGAGTATATAATTTTATATAAAATATAAAGGTATTAAATTGTTTCTAGTAACTATATGTGAAAGAAGAAATTCAGTACTAACACTAAAATTGTTTATCGACTGAGGCTGTATATAAATATTTTTTCTGGTTGACGTAGTTGGTACCTTTATTAGCAAATATTTTGAGCAGGAAAATTATGACACATCTATATTTGAGTATCCTACAGTATACACTCCCACTAAGGTGATGTTTTTGTATTCTATGAAGTTTTGAAATAAGTATATGGGAATTCAGAAACTTCCTGAAGAAAAGTTTTATGTGGATTCCCAATAACAAAACCTTGAATTTTACCTAAGTTGGTAGTGTTCTCAAATCTCCTAACAATCAATAATACATTTTGGTATGACATATATACACTGAAGACACAGTTTTTCTGGATATGATTCCAAATGTTATTGTCACATACATAACATCATTATGACATCGAATCGAACATGGACATATAGTGAGGATTTTGTAAATCTGGTAAACATAACGGAAGGTTATGTTTCCACAAGTGTTTAGATAAAAATATTACTAGCACGTATACATTTTCCTGGTTCAACAAAACATTTTTGTTGGGCCTCAACCTTGAAATTTGGAAATCTCAAACGATGATTTCGAGGTGAATTCCCTAGAAAGCTGATTTAGTATTCACATGCGACTGTCAACTTCTTTAGATATTTCTAGCAGTTCTTGGGGTTCTGCGTTCAGCTTGTCAGCTTCGGTGAGGGCTCCCAATTCGCCAACACTCAGTAGGTCTACCATTCTTGCCCCCAGGCAGTCGCACATCACGTTGATTGTTGTTCTGAATCGGTCTCTGAAAAATTTCCGCATAGTGAGAATGATGAATTCAGTGTTAGAAAGTTTAGAAGCAAACTATTTTGTAGTTATCACCAAATGACTTGTCATTTGGTGATAACTTAGTGATCAAGAACGAGACTCAATCTAAATTTCTAGGTATTCACATTGACAATAAACTCAAATTTATTGAACATATCAAACAACTCAAAAGGCAAATTTGTCCTGGATGTTATGTAATGAGAGTAGCTTCAATAAATTTTGGGGAGTATGTAATTCATCAGCACTTCTGTCTGCATTAGTACTGCAGAAACGGGCTATCAGATATATGAGTAAGATTGAACCTCGTCATTCATGCAGACACAAATTCGATGAGCAAACGATTTTAACAGTGAGTGCTTTGTTTACTTTGGAATCGGTTTGCCTCATTTACAAAAATATGTCCCTATTTGAGGCTTCTTGCCATTCTTATAGTACCCGTTCCACCGCGTTGAAATTGCCAATTCCTTTAACAAATTTGGTCAGGAATTCTATTTATCTATTTAGGTGAGTTACACAAAACTCATGGAGAATATACCTATCATTGAATAAACCCGTGATCAAAAATTGATGCGAAAATTGAAGTATCTAAGGAAAGCAGTATTTTTTTTGAACGGGTCAAGATATCAAGGTCTGAAAATATTTGTATTGAAGGATATAATTTGAAGTATTTTTCAATGAGAAAGACAAGAGTGTTGCCTCACTCGTCGCTTAGAGGGCGAGGGTCTTGTGATTATTTATTTGATATGCTTTTCAATTATCCTTCCGATACTTTTTCAATTTTTGGAAGTCGGATTAGCCGTTCCTGGCTGGTATCTCAAAGCGAAACTTTTTCACCAAAACAACATGGCAGCTGCCATGGCGTAGATCCACGAACTACGGTTTGAACTGCTTGGCCATCCACCTCACTCACCGGATCTAGCCCCAAACGAATTATTTTTGTTTCCTCATCTAAAAATTGCGCTCCAAGGAAAAACATTTTCGTCAAATGAAGAGGCAATCAATCACCTTCGCGAGCAATTATTTTGCTGAGTAAAACGCCGAATACTATTTGGTCGGGTTACAGAGCTGGGAGCATCGCTGAGAGAAGTGTGTAAAGTTAGAAGAAGACTATGTTGAAGAATGAACAAAATATTTGAAACTTTCCAAACCAACTTCGTACCCCTTTCAATTTAAACAATATTAAATATTCACTACTTTAGAAACTTTCGTTATAACCCCCAACGTCCACGAGAGTACATGCTAAACCGCTAAACAGCGTGAATTCCAGGAAAACGAGTTATACTCACAAGAGCCAATCTACAGCAATGATGTTGATTACTTCCTCTGAAGGGAGACCGACGGTGTCGAGAACCATCACCATAGTGACGAGGCCAGCTTGTGGAATTCCTGCTGCTCCTATACTTGCCGCTGTTGCAGTCACGCTGTCAACAAAAAAAAGTTAGAGGTGTAATATTCACCAGAGAATTAAGGAAAATGCAAATCACGATGCTTGTGCGCTCAAATGTTGTTCTTTTCCAGGTGTTGTAAATCTTGCACGACACAATTCTCTCATGACTTTCAATATTTATTTAGTCACACAATTTTCACAAACACTTTTATTTCTACACGTGTTTCGCTAACACCATAGCTTCCTTGTAGCTGATGTGGAAGCTACCAAGGAAGCTACACAATTTTCACAAACCCTTTCATTTCTAGAAGTGTTTCGCTAACACCGTAGCTTCTTCGTAGCTGCGGTGGAAGCTACTAAGGAATCTACGGTGTTTTGCATTGAATACTGTGTTCTACAATTTTATACATACAAATTATCAACACCTCATGACCTGATACAAATGTAATTTTTTTAAATAACGTAGTCAATAAACATCTATCTAGACGTGTTTTGCCAACACCGTAGGTTCCTCTTAGCTGCGAAATTTTTTATATAACGTAGTCAATAAACATCTGTCTATCTATCTATCTACACAATTTTCACAAACACTTTCATTTCTAGACGTGTTTTGCCAACACCGTAGATTCCTCTTAGCTGCGATGGAAGCTACCGAGGAAGCTACTGTGAAAGCTACACAATTGTAACAAACATTTTCATACCTAGACGTGTTTCGCCATTACCTTAGCTTCCTCATAGCTGCGGTAGAAGCTACCAAGGAAGCTACGGTGGAAGATATACAATTTTCACAAACACTTTAATTTTCAGACGTGTATTGCCATCACCTTAGTTTTCTCGTAGCTGCGGTGGAAGCTACACAATTTTCACAAAACATTCATTTCTAGACGTGTTTTTCCAACACCGGACATTTCTCTCAGCTACGATGGAAGCTACCGAGGAAGCTACGGTGGAAGCTACACAATTGTAACAAACATTTTAATACCTAGACGTGTTTCGCCATTACCTTAGCTTCCTCATAGCTGCGGTAGAAGCTACCAAGGAAGCTACGGTGGAAGATATACAATTTTCACAAACACTTTCATTTTCAGACGTGTATTGCCATCACCTTGGTTTTCTCGTAGCTGCGGTGGAAGCTACACAATTTTCACAAAAACATTCATTTCTAGATGTGTTTTTCCAACACCGGAGATTTCTTTCAGCTACGATGGAAGCTACCGAGGAGGCTACGGTTGAAGCTACACAATTGTCACGAACATTTTCATTTCTAGACGTGGTTCGCCATCACCTTAGCTTCCTCGTAGCTGCGGTGGAAGCTACCAAGGAAGCTACGGTGAAAGCTGTACATTTTCACAAACACTTCCATTTCCAGACGTGTATTGCCATTACCTTAGCTTTCTTGTAGCTGTGGTGGAAGCTGCCAAGAAAGCTACGGTTGAAGCTACACAATTTTCACAAACACTTTTGTTCACTCCTCGTTCCTTCCTAGTTTAGTTAAATTTTTTTCTTCTTTTAGGTTAAGCATTTCATCATTATATATTATGTTACTTCATTCTCAAAACCCATTACTTGGTCATTCAACAGAAATATTTGAGATTCTCTATCAAATTATTTGTCCCTCACTTTTTGCTCCCGCTGTATCATAATTTCTGGCCAGCTGCCAGATGGTATGTCAGTTCTCACCGAGAAGCTCGTGCTGGCAATAGCAACTCCAAGTCGTATCGCAATCTCGAAAACCCGAGAAACGTGACCCGGAAAAGTACCTTTTTTTGCATTACGTGTGAAAAAGCGGTGGAAACCACCGAAGCCAGAGAAGTCCAGGACTCAAGGTGAGTTGACTTTCCTTTTTTCGGCTGGCAGAACCCTAACTCTCTCAAATATCAACAACTTCTAGACGTGTTTTGCCAACACAATAGCTTCCTCAAGCTGTGATGGAAGCTACCGAGGAAGCTACGGTGAAAGCTACACAATTGTCACAAACACTTTCATTTCCAGACGTATATTGCCATCTTCTTAGCTTTCTCGTAGCTGCGGTGGAAGCTGCCAAGGAAGTTACGGTTTCACAAAAACATTCATTTCTAGACGTGTTTCGCTAACAACGTAGGTTCCTGGAGCTGCGGTGGAATCTACCAAGGAAGCTACACAATTTTCACAAACACTTTCATTCAAAGAAGTGTTTCGCTAACACCGTAGCTTTCTTGTAGCTCTGATGGAAGCTACCAAGGAAGCTACCCATTTGTCTACAGAGATAATACTGGAAAAATCTTTGGATACTCTTGACAAGGTAAGCTTTGTTGTTGAAGTTATTATATTTGTTTTGAAGACGACTATATGGATTGTCAGTCGAATCATACTACAAATAAGTTTTCACCAAGTTTTCAATAGATTTCTCAGAAATTGAAAATAAGTCATTCCAATCATTGCCACGATTAAAATGATTTGTTAACGAATTGAAGTGTCGATCTACCCAAATGTATTGACTAGTTAACGGTTACGAAAAAGATATTTCACATTTTTCATTTTCTAATAGATGTGTGATATGTTGCCAATGCCACCACGAATAGATTTAACACTTGAATTCACAGTTCACAGTTCTGTAAACTCAAACACGATAACAGTAGTGTCATTGCATTTCATCTGATCTGTCCTTGTTCATCTTTCACTGCCTGAACCACTGTGCATGCTGTTTTTGGCGAGTTCATTGGTTTGGGATGTGGTGGTTGAGCAAACCGGCTATCGAATGCCTGCTTCCACGTAGCCCCACTGGATACGGGAATGAGAAAATCACTTGTGGTTCTGTTATTCCCTAATTGAATGGCATCCCATCAATGGCTTAATCCTGAAGTGTCTGTATTCGTGCCGAGAGAATGAATGACACTGAGCCTATCAGCTGTCTCTACGGAACGTTCGAGATACCAGGCGCCATCTCGTCGTAGCATCGCCTTGTCACGGTAATGCGGGACTCTGTCGTGATTGACCTTCTTTCCCTAGCTACTCGTGGGACTTTTATAGACAGAGTAAACCTAAAAATTCTTTTTGACGCTGAGTCTACAGAAGAGATGGATGTCGTGCTTACGACTCCAACTGATGTCCCTGTAAATTTAGATCAGGAGCGAGAGCTTCTCAACTCTCCAACTTCTGATCCGATAAGTGAACCTAAAAAAAAGTTTGGTGGTGTAGCCTGGAAACGACTGAGACTGAGTCGTCTCTTTAAGAGCGGGGTACCTTATGAAACTGCCTTGCACCAAATTCTTGAGTGACGCTGAATCTGTTTCAGGTGGAGGAACAAACCCCCCATAGGCAGGTTAGTAAACGTTTGCTCTCAAGTGATGATCCACCAAAACCAGAGGCGAAAAAGCCCTCCATGGGTGAATATAAGGCATCGTCAGGTGTAACTGACGTGCAAAAACCCTCATATGGAAAGGTTGTTGCGGGTATTGAGGTGGGAATCTTGCACCTTGACTATCCGACTACCTCATTAACAATGAAACAGCAGAGCATATACTTTGTACCTGCCCCGCTGTGGACCAAATCAGGTATTTAGAGTTCGGCAGAGCCGTACTGTTACCACCATCTGAACTGAAAGACCACTCACCATACAAACTAATAGGCTTCGTTAAGAAGCTGGATATATTTGGTCTAGTGTGAATAGGTTTGAGCCTCAATAAACCCTTGCGGGTTGCGGTGTAGGGTCAAATAGACCCACTCATTTTGGACCTAACCCCCGTTACCCTTCAATTCCTACATACGTTCATCAGTTTTTGATTTCAACTGGAATTTCAATGTTTGTTTGTCTAAAATTGTACCAATCCCGATGAATTACATCAACATTTTTCAATTTTTCTTTCCAGAATTCAATATATACTCACCAAACGGCCACAGTCTTTCCGAAAGTTAGTGGAATGTTCCTCAGTTGAGCAATGAAAATAGCTGCAACAGCTTCATAGAGAGCGGTACCATCCATATTGATAGTAGCACCAATGGGTATGACAAACCTCGTCACTCTTGGGTCCAGTCCCATCCTATCCATAGTCTGAATCGTAATTGGCATTGTGGCTGAACTGAAAATCAACAAAAGTTGAGATGAAAAGACAACCTCTCAACTTTCATAATAAAAACCTACGAATATTTATCACCCTTCAAGTTTTTTCACAGTTCAAACATTGAATCAGAATGCTTCTGAAGTATTTCATCTTCCCTCGAATTTTTATTCGCGACTTTGATGAGCTGTTGCGAATGATAGGAAGCGTTGTCAAGAACTATTCGCATCCAAATTTGAGATCAATGTGTTTTCAAACCATTTCTCAAAAATATTAACTTCCATGTTCCTATGATAGTCAACATTGCAGTCCTTAAATTTTTTTCCACATGATTTCATAGAATTCGGAACCCATCCTTTACTTCCTCCGCAATGCACAATGATTAGTCGCGATACTTTGTTCACAGGCATGTTAGGCGTACACATTCTCGAACCATCAGTCCACCCCTTCCTAACTGTGTTGCGAGTGTCGTCCAAATAGAAAGTTTGCCTTCGTTCTTGTATATATTTAGTTATTTGTTCTAAGTATTTGTTACGCAATTCTACTATTCTTCTGCTTTCCATAACTGCTTGACGTTTCTTTATTATTTTAAATTTGAAAGCTATTTTCTTCTTCCAATTTCCTTCTTATGATTTCAGTGTTGGATTCCCATTGCTTTTGTAACAGTAGTATATTGTTGTGTTCATAAGGTTTGTTTTTGACTATTTTACGTACAGTTCAGAAACGAATTTCGGTCAAATATGATGTTGCTTGTAATAGTTTGTTTCCCGCGAAACCAAACTTGAGATGTAGATTCTTACTTACATTGAAACATACTATCTGTGTTTCAATATTCAAATGCACCCGAATCTTATTCACTGGTATCTCTTTTTCGCATTGTTCACCAACGCTATTGAAATCACTATACAGGAAAAAGTCTGCGTTGTTATCACACTTGTTATTACAATTAGTACTTGTCCAAAGACGCCACATTTTAAACAGATAACAAAAATGTTAAGTAATTATAACTGCACCAATATCGAATTTCAACACTCAAATCGCCATCAGTTCCTGAACTGAACATTGACAACACGACTCTCTTAATCATCCTCGCATTCTATTTGTCACCGTAACATGACTTTTAGGACTCTTCAGCCAAACATTAAACTGTGTTAGTAAAAATCCTCCAATACGAACCAAGTCTACAGCCCACGTGGACTAGTTGGAAGCGGCTTTATGTCTCCGTATTGGTTTTTTGGCCTTCGAGATCACCGACAGCTTCAACTATGCACTTTACCGGTTACTTCGACTATACATTGAATGTTTTTTGGGAAATACATTTTTGTTGTTATTGTCATAATGAAATTGATAGAATTATGATAGTGGATTATTCAAATTGAATTATACTTTTCCTTACCTTGAGGCTGTTCCGAATGCCGTTACCAAAACCTGACTGAGTTGAGCTATAACTTTGAACGGCAATTTTCTCACTCCTATGAAATAGAGAATTGACAACGTTCCAAACCCGTGCAAGAACAATCCCAGCAACACTGTGAAGAAGTACAATCCGAGTCTTCCAATTAAGTCTGCAAAGCTTTCGATTTCCAAAACTTTGGCCGCTACCAAGAAGTACACTCCGAGAGGTGATATCCTACAAAATAATAGTAACTGATAGTAACCTGGAACTATGAATACTTCAACCAGGTTAGTAGGGACCATGTGCATGATTTGTTATTCAAGGTTTTTGAATCGAAAGAATATTGTGAGGTAGAAGACATTTTGAAGACTTTTTTATCCAAGGCCCCTAATGTTTGTTCCACAAACTCGATCACGTCATTTTCAGTATTTACTTTGTTTATGAACCCGAATTGTTGTGTTATTATATGGTGTTTTTCAACAGATTGTTTGAATAGTTTAGCGAAATTATTGATGAAAGATATTGGTCGGTAATTGCACATATCATTTTGACTTCAAGTTTTCCTGAGGGTGCTACGGGTCCTGATGTTAAAATTGAACCCAGTTCTTCTTATCCTTTCCCACAACTCTCTAATATTGGTAAGCACAAGCACTGGTTGTGACGGCTTCTCTTCCTTACCAAAGACTGTCCCATCATCACTTTGGAGTAATCAATTCGCAGAAGATCTTCTTTGATAATGCCTAGTTCCTTCTCGAAACCTTTCTGCGTATTCAAGAGCCCGAAAGAACAGTCTACAAGAGCCTTAATAATTCATCTTCTGGTAGATTTATGATGATTTAGATTTGGTAGATTTAGATGAGATTCGTGATTCAGAAACTGTCCCGTGTGAGTGGGTTTTCGATATATATAGATGTTTCCCACTTCATGTCGTTCTTCTTCACCAGTACGTCTAAGAATGGCAATTCGTTGTAGAAGTCCTTCTCCATTGTGGAGGTGATGAAAGGTCTTATGCTCCTGTGGGTTGGGCTACCTATAGGGCGCGTCCCCAAGTGAGGGATAGGGGAACGGCCAGGGGACTGGAGGCCCTGTCCGGGAAGTCAATGTAGCCTTACGGATGGGGTCGCCGGGCTCCTGGTTAGTGGTAGAAATAAGTAGGGTGAGGGGAACTAGAACCCCCCAAAAGCCTTTGCAGAACATGCCACCGTGGACCAGCCTACCCAAGCTAACGTGTAAGGAACCGTGCCGACAGCTGAATGGCCGCAGGGTGATATGCGGTCACGAAGGATCCCTTTGGGTAACTGGGCGAAACCTTATTTTAATCAGCCTACCTCTGGTAATGCAGGGCTCTGCCAACTCTTCCCTTGCTCCTCGTGGGAACATACAAAAACAGAAACAACATAAACAAAAACGAATCCTGAGGTTGGACAGAAGTGCTCACCTCAATCTAAGGTGGGGGTTTGGGAAATGCCCACTTCAATCTACTGCGTGGAATGAGGCTGGACATAGCAGATCACCTCCAAAAGGACACTTTCTGCGGCGGGCGCCAAGAGCTCCTCCTTGAATAAAGGTAAGGAACCGTCTGCCCCTGCAGGAAAGCTCCCTCACTTGTGCACCTCCCCAAGAAGGTTGAAGAAGCCGTGCAACAACAGTAATATCATTGCACCTTCTATAACCTTGGCGGAGGCCACCCACTTCAAGGTGTCTCACGGCGAGTCTTGTTCAGCGAGTTTTGGCCTACACCTGCCAATATGAAGGAGATGTCTCCAAGTGACCTGTTCACCTTCCTGGAAAGGACAGAATGGACAATGACCTAGAAGGACAACGCCTTGGGAGGATGTACAATAGGTCACATGTGGCCTAAGTGCTGTGAGTCTACACTCACAGTCTCTACTCTACAGTCCCTCATCTTGCGTAAATAAATCGTCCTTTAATTGGAAATTGTGGTTTCTCACACAGCATTTTAGTAAATCCATGAATACTTATACAGGGTGCAACTAAATAAGTGTAAAACATTTAAGGAGGTGATTCCTCATCGAAAAAAATATAGGATCTTTCATATAAAGAAATTTCATTGGAGCATCCCCTGTTAAGATGCAGCCCCTTAAACGGGGTACATACAACTTTTATGACAATTTTTTTCACAAGCACTTGAAAAGTTACAATATTGAAATTAACCTGACGTTTTGTACTACCAAAGAGACACTTAGCCAGAAATTTATTTGGTATACCCCATGGTTGTGAAGGGTGAAAGACGCAACCCCTAAAATGTATTTCCAATGTAACTCTGTATGATTTGAAGTGCTTCTTCGACGTTGAAACGTTGGTGTAAAGGCGCGCTTTTTAAATGATGGAGGTGGCTAAAACTTCGCCCTCCAGTTGTGCCAACCTAGATACAAAAATAATTTTGACAATTCCTTCGCGCGGACTTTTCGAATGATCGATTTCTGTTACTTTTTTGACAGAAAGTAACAGCGTAGTTTAAATCCATTGTAACAAGGAGTTCAAGGAACAGTTGTTTGTATTGTGCAATGGGGATTGAGGTTTTTGAAAATTTGCTTAGTGACAGTTTAGTAAAAACTCTTGGACTTCATAATTATTCACAGGTGGAAAAATTTGGAAAAGTATTTGCTTCTGATATGATTTGAGGTTCGAAAACCAGTAATAATGGGAGATTGACGATGATAATGAAAACTGTTTTTCAAAAGTACTGAGGTACTCACCATATCACCCAACTGGTAATGATCATCATGGCCTCGCTTAGAGCATCGAAAAACTCAAGCAAGATTTTAGCTTTTTCTCCGAGTTTTCCGAGAGCAATCCCAAAGATGATGGCGAAAGATACCAATCCTAGTACGTTCGTCATTGGTTCATATTTTTCTTCGAATTTCCAATGTTCCGGGCCCATTGCCTTTACTTAAATAAGGGATATTATTTTATTTATAACGTTTTTTATTCAATTCTACTTACCCGTGGCATTGGTGGGGTCTACCAAAAAGGTTTGTGACTGAAAACAATCAAAAATTAAATTCATATTGAATGAACTATGACACACAAAATCTTGAATCACAAATAGGTTCGAATAGCATCGCAAACAAACCAAAATGTTT